ACTGTCGGCTGCTTGCAGTTCAGTGGTTCTAATCTCACCAGCTCAGGGTTGACTCAGCCTTCCATCCTTCCAAGGCGGGTGAAATGAGGACCAAGACTTGTGGGGGCAATATGCTGACTCTGTAAACCGCTTAGAGAGGGCTGAAAGCCCTATGAAGCGGTATATAAGTCTAACTATTGCTATTGATTGCTATTGTATAGTTTCAGCCAGATTAAAGTCATAATGTTTACTTTTGAGACTGAGATTTTTAAATGTTGCTTTGATTATAATAGTTGCTGAGATGAAACCACACGCACTAAAGAATTTACAGGTAGCGTCTGCTAGTTTTTTTTATTTTAAAAAGATTCACAGTTACATTAGCAATAAAAAAACTGACAACTGGTCCTTACACTTATGACTAGTGGCAGCCTTCCCCACAGTCACGTGATCAAAATTCATGTGCTTGGCAACCATGCATGTGCTTGTTATGATTGCAGGACCCAGGGGTCCTGTGATCACCATTTGCGACCCCCCCAGCCAGCTGCTGACGAGCAAAATCAGGGGCAGAAACCAGATTTTGTCTAATGACACGATTCCCAGAGATGCAGGGCTTAACAATCAGGGCAAAAAGGTTGTAAAATGAGCCATGATGATGACTCAACTCAACAATTACCTTGTTTAGCGATGGAAATTATGGTTCCATCTGTGGTTGTAAGACAAGGGACTATCTGTAAACTGTGGTTAGGGATGAAATTAAAATAAACCTGTTGAATGTAATAATATGTAAATGAATATTAATAATGTACAAGTGAATTGATTTATCTCTCTCTCTTTTTGTATTGTTCTAGATTGGTGATTTATGGGCAGTATTGCAGCCAAGTAGAGATGGCTATTTCCTGTTTGGATATTATTTCCAAGACAAAGGAAGATGTTAAGCTGAAATTGGAGGTATTTGGGACATTTTATTGATTTATTTACAAATAAAAATATTTTGATTTGAATCAACACTTATAATCAAACTACCATCCATTCATCCATTATATCTGCCTGCCTGCCTGCCTACTATCTATCTATCTATCTATCTATCTATCTATCTATCTATCTATCTATCTATCTATCTATCTATCTATCTATCTATCTATCNCCCACCTTGGAAGGATGGAAGGCTGAGTCAACCTTGAGCCTGGTGGGATTTGAACAGCCGAACTGCTGAACTGCAGTCAGCTGAAGTAGCCTGCATTTAACCACTGCGCCACCTTGGCTCTTAGCGTAGTAATAGTAAGAAATTTACAGTTTATTTAGCATTTGAGGAGCAAGACATTAGTATTAAATTTACAAAGGTAAACGAAACTTCCTCCATGTCCCTATATTTGGACATTAAACCTGATTGCAGCCAGGAATCTAAAATGGAATTTAGATATTTTCTGAGTTTATTTTGATCAAGTCAAGTCTTCCTATGCAACCAGGGGTCCGGGAAGAAAGAGACTGAGAATTAATGCCTTAACAATAGAAGATAGAGTGAAGTTATCCTATCCTTAATCTAAGATAAATTAACTATGAATAAAGTTTAATGTGCCCAGTTGACTTAAAAATTGTGACAGTGAACTCAATATACTTTTAAATTTATAATTTTTTAAGGGTTATATAACAAATACATACCAGTAAATTTACGGTAAATAAATGCTCATTTTAATAACCACAATGATAATACTTTCTAGTTTCTAGTGTGATTTAATATAATCATTGTATTTCATCGTATAAAAATAATAACTTTACAATGAAAAGCTGATATGATAGCACTGAAGATTCTTATAAAAGGTTTATTTTTTTTCTGTTTCAGGATTTGGTGAAAATACACAGAACTTTAACACAAGATATTCATGAATCCATTGTAAGCAAAAGTGACCAGAATTTGTATAAAATTTTTATTAGCTACAAGGAAAGGTAATAGTCCTTTATATATATATAAAATGTATATATTTAAAATGTGAACTTGAGCTGTTGGTATTAATTTATCCATGATAAGTTCTTAGCTGCATTTAATGTAGTTTAAATAAAAGTTTTGTGTTCAAATATGAACAGTTTTAATATTTAGTATTAGTCTATAATACATTATTTCAGTGCATTAAAAACAATTAAATTTCATAGAAAGTTATTCTGTAGAATGTGCTATATCCACTCCTTTTTCCTTTTGTATATTTTGTTATGGTTTTCTTGGATATTAACCTTATTTGGTGTCTGTCTGTCTGTCTGTCCACCTATCCACCTATCCACCTATCCACCTATCCACCTATCCACCTATCCACCTATCCACCTATCCACCTATCCACCTATCCACCTATC